GGAAATGTTGATTATCTTTATCGTTTTTTGGTGCATATCTTCATTTCATTTTCCATGACCGGTTTCGTGTGTTGTTCTGGTGGGATGACATGTACAACAAGCTTCTATATAATCCCGTCATGCATTCTCTCAATCCGTGATCATCGCATGTCTATTGCATGTCGTGAAGCCAATACGAAGAACATGAACAAGTGAAACGCAGACAAGGACACTGCATGACACGCACGACATTTGTGTCCCACAAAAGACATTACCACATTCATGACATCGACATATGACAGAGTCGTGAGAGTTGTCACACGCATCGCAAAAAGGCAAACAACAATCAACCGCCACGCGCTTCAAATCGTCCGATACAACAAGGAGCACCATGCATTGATAAAACAACCACGTGCGCTGAATGCAGAAATAAAAAGATTAAAAAAACAACAAAAAAAAAAACAAAAAACAAAGGTGCAAACCATTCATCCCGTGCTGGCGCTACTGGCCGCACACTAAACACCTACGCCACCGTCGAAGATTCAGCCGAATCCCTCCGGCGAACACGCTAACCACCGAAACTAAAACGACACAATCGATTTGAATCAACCCGTGCTTATGCCACGAGCGCCACAGTAAACCTGTGCACAATGATGACGGAGGACTCTGGCGAATCCCGACGGCCCACACGCTAATCAGTTGCGCCACGCACGACACTCCAATCACACGACACCCCGTCACGTCTCACCACGCGTACACGCGCCTTTGTTCTTAGAAGCGCTGTCTCCCCGCTCTCCCCCCGCATACCAGCGTGCCTTATGCGTCGTCTTTTCCTTCGCCTTTGATGTCATCATCGGCGGGGCCCGAACCCAACCAATCCAGCCTCTTCGCATCCTCCGGCCCCTTGATGGTCGCGTCGTGCGCAAATCCGATGCCACATGGTGCCCAATCAGGGATGTAGTCGTGGTACACTCCGAGCGTGACTTTCGCCTTCCCAAGCCTCTCCGTGACAACGTTCACGGCGCGGACGACGGATCGTCGATGATCGAAGGACCGATGCATGGAGGCGATTAGTGTCGGCCTGGCAACGAGATCCGCGAAGTAAAACGCTTCGTAGTGACTGCGCGGATCGTCTCCCGCCATGCGCATAATCCACATGGACGCCGCCAGCAACAGCCTGAAGCAATCAGCCACCCGACATAGACGCTCGTAGGAGATGAAATCGTCGTCGATGTGAGCACCCATTTGCACCGCCGAGCAGAACGAATGCGCGATGCTGATGACGGTGGACTCCTGGTACGCAGCCATGTCGTCGTCCTCAGGTCTGTCCTCGATATTCACATCGGCGTACCACAGTGGAAGGTCCATGTTAAGATCTATCGTGTGGGCGCAGATCGGCGCGCCGACGACGTTGCGCCACTCCTCGCCGTACCACATTGCACGCGCAATGTCTGTCGCTACGGACTCCAACGAGTACTAGAACGCAAGGTTGTACCCCCTTGGGCGGTTCCCGGACTTGAAAACCCAACCGTGCAAGATGCGCAGAGCTATATTCTCCACCGCCACCGCACGGGAGATCACCTGCTGGAGCTGTGATTGGTCTGCGATCCTCGCCACCCTCGTGCTGGATTTGGGGACGACAACGCTCCGCGGAAGTTGAGGTGGCGGAAGCCCGCTGGCGATGGCGACGAAGTACTCTTTGGTTTCGTGGACGATGTTGTAAAGTCTGCGTCCTTCACCCGTCGTCCAGAAACATTTGTCATCCACCCAAAGAAGCGCACGGTCGATAAGTTCATTCGTCATTACTCCCCTGCGTGCCCGGCTTGAAACGGCCTCGCCGCCATCGCGTTGGTTCGTGTTCTGTCCACGACCCTCCTCTCTCACTGTCACCGGAACTGCAGCCTCCTCTCTTGCCGACGGAACGGGAGGGACAACACCTGCAACAGCCACACCTGCGCCACCTGCTGCCTCCCCTCCTGCTGCACGCGCGTCTGCCACGACTCCCCCACCACCACCTCGTTGGCAAGACGCACCGTCACCACCGTCATTGCGCTGACGCGGCTGAGACGACGTGCAGGGCAGTGCACCTGTGATCGGCCTTTCGTCGTCCGCAGCGCGAGCCGTCGACACCGCCGTTGTGGTCGCTTGTGTCGCACTGCGCAAGCGACGTCTCTCCAAAGGCTCGTCGTCTTCGCTGCCAAGGTCCACTACAACACCCTTCTCTTTCCACGTTTCGCGGACACGCAGCTGCTGCGCCTCCGGCGGAGGGGTTGACATCCTCTTCGAAGTGCTTTGATCCGGAGTACGCTGCCTGGCACTCTCCCGTCCTGCAGACGTCGTCGCCTCGCATTGATCGTCCTCCGTCATGAAATCATCGTCGTTGTCCTCTTCCGCCGGCTGCGACCAACCTCGCGCACCACGATGCGGCACGCGTGCTGACGCATCATCCAAACGTGGCCTCTTCGCCTTCGGGACGTGCCGACGACCTTTCCCCTGGGCTTGGGTTTCGTCAAGCGCGACGTCGCGCTTCTTCCCGCAGGCGTTCAATCGCGCAGACATGCTTGCTGGGGACCCCCACAAGTGATCTCGGTGTAGCACTCGGCTGACGTGTGCTGTTTCGTCGAAAAAGATGTCACCCGTCTCTTGCCAGGCTGGCCAGACAGGCTATCCCGACGACGGTGAAGATGTGTCCTACGCTGCAGGATGACGATGACGCCCAAGCGCACCACGGAAGGATGATGTCCCCGGCGACACCTGTCCTTGGCGATGGTGGGAGTGCTCCGTGGCGAGAAGACTGACTGCCAGAAGAGCGGAAGCGATGACGGTGATAAACGTTGTGGCACTGCAGATGCGCGGCGGGAAGTGTGCAGCTGGCCCGACGAGAAGCGTTGTGGCACTGCAGATGCGCGGAGGGAACCTTGTAGCGCGCCCGGCGAGAAGCGTTGTGGCATTGCAGATGCGCGGCGGGAAGTGTGCACCTGGCACGGCGAGAAGCGTTGTGGAATCACCCTCGTGCGGACTACATTTATGCGGCTCCGGACGCGCAACACTGAAATGACACTAGGAGAAAGACCGTCCACGACGTCGCATCCTCTTGGCGGGAAAACGGAATGACGACGGCGACACGTGCTACCGCCATGCCTGTCCAGGCCTGTCATTATCAACCTCCCGAAGCCGC